TATGGAACCCCCTTTGATGGCCATTTAACAGAGGGTGAGGTTTAGCCTCAACTGCAGAGACTCGGGGTCAGAATTACTAGAAAAGAGATGCATAATGACTAACAGTGAATCAGTCTTCAGCGGTTTCTTCATTTAAGTGTTAATGCAGCATAATAAACCCCTGGACTAAGATCAGCAGGAAGGCCCTGTCTGCAATAAGTGAGTTAGACCTGCACAGGCTCCAAAGGGACACTCGATCCTATTTAACCCTTGGTTGTACAACCAGTGCCACGCAGACAGCAGGACTGACACCTGACAGAGGACAGCACAGCTCCCCTTGGGATAGAAGAATTCACACACGTTTCTCTTCAGCCAGGAGGAATTTCAATTGCCAATTTTAGCCTCTACTACCCTGTCAGCCTTGGAGCACCTGCCTAAAGCTTTACTTGTGTGGTGGGGCAGGAAACTATCTTGGTACAATTATTCTAACAGGAGCAAGAAGGAGCATGCTACACGTGCTGGTGTGTTTTATGGCAATTGTACAAGGCTGATATAAAACACAATGAAAGTATGCAGAGGGGAGGAAGGTGTTGAGTTTGCTGCTTATCTTTGAAAACATCCAATGCCCAAGGAGTCCAGGTCCAGAGCAGCACACTGTAATTTCTGTATTTTCTTCTAACAAGATTCCTCCTTCAAACACAAATGAGAACATCTAATTCATCCTCCACGTCATTCACAAAACCTTTGCAAGACACCTACTGAGAAAAGAGACACCAATCCATCTTTATGTCATGGCTGTTCCTCTTCCCACCCCCGTTCAGCAGCAGTTCTCTCCCTCCCAGGGGCTATTTCTGTCCCTGCCCCGGGGTACCAAGCTCCATCCACGGGCATTCATCTGCTCCTGCAGCTCAGCAGCAGATCCAGAGCTTCACGACAACAAACGTTTGGGAGGAAGAGCTCCAGTGCAGAAAGTGGGAGGCTGCAGCGCTGAAGAGATACCAGACACATAAGCCCCCTCAGCCCCCAATTAAGCTACCACTGACACAGCAGCAAAGTACTAATTACCTTTCCTGGTCATGCTGCTCCCTCAGCTGAGAAGGCTGAACGCAGGGCAGGTTCTGTGGCCGTTTGCTCACCCTGCAGGAGCAGTGCTGCTGGTAGCTGGTATCCGTCTGCACTGCTGCACTGTTACACTCATCAAGAAGAATCCTGGTCTCAAATTTAACCATGCTCTCACATTAATCTCTTGGTAACCATATGTTATTTCCTACAGCAAGAAAAATGTTTTAATGAAACATGTAATGTCTCTATTTCGGCTTGTAGTTGATATAGTTAATACCTCTGTGGGGTTTAATAAATATTCTCCGTTATCCCCACTGCAGCAACTATGCTCAGCCATAGACCATTTCTGGCTCTTAGGCTTTTACTAAACCTCTCCACTAAATGAGAACTAAAACACAACTCTCTTGCAGCATACAAACGATGAGAACAAAAGGCCATGTGAGCAGTATTATAATAGATGCCGGAGGAATTAGTAATTACAGCTATTGGCTTTTCTTATGGCCAAGAGAAATAAGAAGCAGGGCAGACAATGCACCAACAAATACCAAAAAAGCAGAGGAAAACAACTGAAAAAGGTCACCTTACAAGGCCTTCGAGTGGCTCATAATGAAACAAACAGCACCAGTGTGAAATAATTCCCCTCTGACACGACAAGAAAGGACCACAGCATAGGGGCACACAGACTGCTTGGACTATCATGCTCTGAACACTGATGATCTGTGGTTCTCCCGTAGTCACATGCCTTGGTGCTGCATGCCAAAGGTAGGGAAGAGCAGGAGAACAAGCAGCAGCCAAGACTTTTCCAGTGACTGCCCCGCCAGCAGCTCTGCACTCATCTCAAGGAAACAAATCCAGACAAACCAAGGCGGCTTCTAAAGGCTCCCACATACAGCACATCAGTCAGGGCCAAACTCCTTCCAGAGCCTCAAAACCTAACCATCACAGCTGGATTTTAGCCTGCTTTTAAGTGTCACGGTGCCCACCTCCAAGAACTCTGCACCAGATTTTTACCATTGGCTCTCAATTCTTCTGAAACCACAGACACGAAGCCAGTTCTTTCAGAAGGGAGCATCCTGCCCTGGCTAAAGCAGAGACGTCTCCCACCTCCAAGAAAGGCTCAGCTTCTTAAAAAGAGCAAAAAAAAAAACAACAACTCAGGTCAGAGGAAGTAAAAAAATAAGCAGACCGTGAGCTTGCAAGAAGGTAAGGCTGGACAGCAAGAAGGTCACAGGGCTTGGGAAGTTGCCACATTCTTTCAGGGTTGTGAGCTCTGATGTCCATTGCATTCCAGCCACGCACAATGCCCTGGAGATGCAGCAAGATATCCTGCAGGTGCCCAACTAATCCCAGTCACAGAAACCAGTCCTAGTTCCTTCCCAGCTATCAGAATTGGGCTCCTACAGAGTCCAGAATCTAACTCTGCATAACTGGGGACTGAACATAAATTGCTGGCTTGGTTAACACAAATTGTCAACTGTTCCTTTCTATTTCATTAGTTCCAGCAAATACAATTATGAATACAGGCCTCCTGCCCTTTAGGATGATTAACATTCCCTTTCGTTAACGTCCCCAACACTGCTGACCCACATTCAACTTGTGAAATCCAGTTACATGTAAACTGCAATGCTCTGTGTCAGCAAGATGTGCCAGACCACCAGAGCCAGGAGCACAGCACAAGCTCTGCTCCTTTCTGGAAATAAACGCAGTCCTTCGACTACAAAACAGCCAACAAGACCCAATCCTTTAGCATAAGAACGGGCACCAAATCCTTCTTTGCTTTACTTTTTTAGGTAAAAGGGGACACAAGCCAGGAATGCTCAGCTGTTATCTTCAGATGTCACATCAAAGTCCACTTGACCTGGCAAACATCCATAGGAAAGGAAAACAGATTCCCAATCCTTATCAATAGGCAGGCTACCTTTTAAATTCATGAGCAGCAATGAATACAAGCCTCCCAAGTTATTAATTTCACCTTCAAAGTCACGTACAAAGACAGGGCACGCTATGTCTCAAGTGAGCACAGATATTCATACTGGAGTTCCTTTTGAAACAGAAGAGCATGGTTCCCAAGGAGCAGCCATGATGAGCAAACCAGCTTTTCTCTAAGAGAACGTGACATGGGGTCAAGTTTGTGCAGGGATTTGATGGCTATATTTGAATGCTGCTTGATTCTTCTACGCAACTACTACTGGAAGAAATCATCTCTGGAAGGGTTTGCCAGCACACTCACCAATTGTACTACATTTGTGTAGCATGTTCAAAGGATTCTTTCAGATCACAAATGGAACCATTTTACCAAGCCTTTACTTTCTTCTAAGTCACTTCCATTAAGCCAATCCGTTCCAAGTGTTACTGGGATGAAACCAACCTCTTAGTGGCTGTTTTCTATTCCCACTGCCACTTCAAAAAATACTTCCCATACAGATTCGCCCTTTTCAGGGTATTTTACATCAGTACCTCCCTTCTAACCTCAAGAATCCCAGAGCTTGAAGCAAATAACTCTCCCCTCCTTCCTCACTCCTCTCCCGGAGTTGGCAATGACAGCGCCTGCAGAGAAGGAGAACTACTGAAATAACAGCACTGGGGATTTGCAGGCAAAAAGAGCCCATTTGCTTGGCAGGGTGGGATTTTAAAGGAAACCTGACCTCAGAGTTAAGAAAGCTTCCAGGTCAAGTTTCAGCTCCTAGCTGTTCCACCTCAGCCTTCCCAGCCCTGCCACTCACACAGCCAACAGATCCCAGCTGTTCTCAACACAGGTATTTCCCTCACCATGACTGCCTTCAGAGGGACTTCATCTCCTCCACTCAGCTGAGGGGAATTTCAAGGCACACAAAGCACCGCCTCAGGAGCAGCTCCCACTCCAGCAGGCTCACTCACAGGTGACAGCAGCAACTGCACCTACATCCCACCCTGAGAACAGCTGTGCTGCTTCCTAAAGCAAACAAACCACCTTCCCTAGCTTCAGAGCTGCTGGCACCAGTAAGCTGCTGTTTAGCAGAGCTTCTTCACGGCTGGCCATTCCATCTTGTTCAATCATTCATAAATAAAGCACGAGAGTTAACGTCAGTCCTGTCTGTTCTGAACGCAGCTTCCTAAGGTTGTGGACGTTTTGCCATTCTTCAGGAAAAAGAAAAAAAAAGAGAGCAACCCGAATGCAAGATTGCCTCTGCTTCAGTATTGTGCAAACTTTGAGTTAACATCACCCAAGAGAAGCCTCGACTCAACAAGAAGGGCTGAATACATCAACGTTCCTTGCAGCCAAAGGACTGATCTCTGCTTAAGAGGAGAAGCCTTCTGCGTTCGAAGCATCCAAGCTGCTACCACTGCTTCTAGTAGGGAAACTCAGCACCACCACGGGAAAAAAGTGACTGAGCCCTGTGCAAGGGCAACAGTAGCTGAACTGCGGGTTAAATTGTAGCATGTAACATTTGAAACTGACATCAGTTTATGCAACACACGCAAACGTATCCCAGTTCTGAACAGAAAGCTCCAGTAGATGTTTAGCAACTGATTTCTAAACAGCCCCTGCAATGAGTTTCACGCAGTTACCTGGGAAAAAGACAGATAAATCATCAACAAAGCAACCCCACGTTGAAACGGCTCCATAAATCAGAACGCAACTCCCAAAATTCAGACGGCGACTCAAGCATGACAGCTACAGCCCTCCTCACGACCCCAAGCCGCTAACGCAGAAGCAGGACAGCATCGCGACCGAGCTCTCCGGGCTGCGCTTCGAGCCGCCCGCACCGCACCGCAGTTCTTATCCCCCGCCGGGCTCCATCGGCAGCGCTGCCGTCTGACAGCACCGCCCGGCTGCGGCCCACGGCCCGGCCCGGCTCTCTCCCCGCACGGCCCGGCTCGGCCCGGCGCGGCTCCGGCTCCACCGGCGGTACCCGACCGGGGCAGAGCCGACGGGAGGAGGCGGGCGGCACGAAACGCGGCCGGGCCGGGCTCCTCACCTTGGCCCGGGTCACCAGGTGCGTGGCCAGCTTCACGACGGCGAAGTTGCCCTTGCCGATGGTGCGCTCGATCTCGTAGTAGCCGATGCGAGCGGGTCCCGGGGGTCTGGGGGGCGGCGGGGCCGGGGGCAGCCGCGGGGCCGGAGGGGGCCCCCCCGCACCGCTCGCCGCCGCCGCTGCAGCCGCCGCCGCCATCTTGTAGCGAGGAGCAAACCCCCCCCCTCGGGGCTGCGGCACCGCGTGAGCTCATCCGCGGGGGGGCGGGGGGCGGGCGGCTGCCATGGCGACCCGGCGGGGCGGGCCGAGTGACGTCAGCGCCGCCGTGACGCCCCCGTACGTCACCGGCCGCCGAGGCGCGGGATTGGCCGAGGGGCGCGGCCTGGGAGCCCCGCGCGGCGCGGCGGGGAGGGCGCCCCCGCGTGGGGCACACTGCGGTGGAGGGCAGAAGGTCGCGGGTTCGAATCCTCGACGCGGGGCAGCTGGCCGGTCCTCTCCAAACTTCATTTCGATCTCCAGCCGTTCACTTCCTCGCACTACAACGATCTTTCACCGCAGTTACGTATCCGTGCTTGGTTCCTTTTGTGGCACGATGGAAAGAATGCTACTTTTAGCCTGGTAGAAAATCTACTGCCTTAATATTGTACCCGTAATTGGAGCGTTAACACTTTGACTCCCAATGCGCTACATGATGTTATGATGTGGAATACTGAAAACCAAAAAACACAAAACCATGACAAATATCTTTTCTAAGAGCAAGCATCCAGCCTCGAAAATATTTGCAACTGCAGGCCTGGCTGCTCTGAGCAAAGCACTCAGTCCCTTACAGGACACTTGGGAATATCACTGTGGGTCTGCAGACACCCCAGACTCAGTGCAGTCCTGCACATCCCCACAGCTCATCGCACTGCTGTTGTGTGCTGGGAAAATGGCTGCAGGGTTACATAAAGCAGGCAGGGGCATGGTGCTGGCAGCATGCCGGGATCACCAGCCCTCTGTGTGCTTCCTGGCAGCAACCTCAGGAGCAATCCTCCCTCAGAGGTGTAGCAGGCATGAAAAGGGATCCATAGAAACAAGGGGGCCTGGGCAGGAGTCGCAGGCAATGCACAACTGTAGTTCAGAGATTAAATCTCCGAAAAGCCTGAATGAGGAGCTACAAAAACCCTCCAATTCTTCTGCTCACCGCCCATGGTTCACAGGCGCTGCACTTGATCATAGCTGGCTTTTTGCACCCCTCAATTTCCACCCAGCAGTGCCTCCCACCCGCAGGGATCTTCCCAGAAGTTTGTTGTTGAGGTTGCCTGGGGAAACGGCTGAATTTGCCTCGAGTGGTCTGGCTGTTGCTAAGAGCAACATTTCAGCTGCAGCTGCCCATGAAAGAAGACAGGTGTGCTAGTTATGTGTTTTAAAAAGCCGTGAAAGAGCAAAAGACTGCTTGAAGCACAGCCTTCCTTTAATAATCATTAATCCTTGCCCTGCTGGCACTGATCACGTGGAACAGTGACAGCCACTGGCAAGTGGCTGGAGCGCAGGGAACTTGAACCACCACCACCTCACCATCTCCCTATTTACCCCATGCTTTCACAAAGCTGCCTCCTTGCCACTGGGTCTGCCTCGTCCTGCCCTGTTCCTGCTTCGGGACAAAGCAGAGAGAGAAACCAAATGGTCTTCTCTTTGCTGATTTAACTTCAAAGTACAGAACTCTGGGGCTGCAGAAACTGCCCACGGCCTTGGGAATGCCACAGTGCGCAGCTCACTCCAGTAAGAAGGGTCTACGAGGAACACGTGCAGCTCTCACCCGTCACAGTGAGACTGAAAAGATGCACAGAGAGGTGGGGATGCTCGGAATGCAGTGATGGCTCTGCGGCCTGGTGGTTCCGCCATGTTTTGCTGCACCTGCACGGCACTGACCTACAGCAGCCCTGTCACTGCAGGCTGCCGCCAGCCCGCCTCACCTCACTCCCCGACGCCAAGCCGCGGGCCCGCCTCCACCGGCCCGGCAGAACGACTAGACCGACGTCACCGCCTCGAGAATGACGTCATAGCGACGTCACCGCGGCGCGGTGCCCCCTAGAGGCCGAGCGCAGAGGAGCTCTGGGCGGGACTTCCGGCAGCGCGGCCGGAAGCGCCGCGGGGAGGCGAGTGGCGATTGGTCGGGTGGCGGCGGCGGAAGCGGAAGTGGCGTTGGCGCAGGCGCGGAGAGAGCCCGGGCCGAGGGAGGGAGGCGCCCGCCCGAGCGAGCCATGGAGCTGCGGGGGGAGCTGCTGTCGCCGTGAGTGTGCGGGCACCGCCCGGCCCCGCCCCGGGCAGGCTGCAGGGCTCCGGGCCTCGCCTCGTTCCGTGGGGGGCGGCGGGATGGCGGCGCCGTGTTTTCATCCCCTCCCTGCCCAGCGGTTGCGAGCGGCCCGTGGGAGCCGTTGGGCGCGGGCGGCGGCTGCGGGCTCTGCTCAGGCGTTGGCCGCGGGGCGGGGCGGGATCCGGCCCTCAGCGCTGCCATCCGAGGGAGGAGTGCGGCTTCGTCCCCGTGCCCGCAGGGTGCAGCTCGCGGGGTACAGCCCCGCTGCCCGGCCTAGCGCCTGCACGGCGCGCTGCTCGGACCTGGTTTTGTTGCGGTGTCTGTGCTTTGCAGGCTGCCGGGCCGCTGGGTGAAGGGCTGCGTTTGCCCCGATGGCCGCTGCGCTTCCTGCCCGAGATCCCTGGGGATCGGCTCGGCCGCGATGCGCAGCCTCCTGCAGCCGCTTAATCCACCTGTACTGCGCGGCTCAGTAGCCGTAAGCTGGCTATCGCTGTACTAATAGGAGCTAATCCTCGGATTACCAGCATTTATTATAGTTAAGGATTTGCCCGGCTGAGGTGTGCTTCTGCAGGATGGTCTCTGAAATGAGCTTTTCTTTGTCTTTTTAAACGCGTTGTTTTCGCGTGTCAGTAGATGGCTTCAGGGAGAGCTGCCTGCAGCCTGGCAGTCCTGCACCGAGTAAAATGGATTTTGTTGTCAGCTAAAAATTAACGTACTTCGGAATGGTCATGAATTGTCCGTTGTGAATGTCAGGAAGTGCAGTGGTTTTTCTGCCAGCCTGCCTTTTCCCCTGTGCTTGGATTAGCTGCTGAAAGCAGCCTGTCTGAAATGTTCTTTCCACAGGAATAGAATGAGCTGTGGAGACTCGAATCCTGCAGCAGTGCCACATGCTGCTGAGGATACTCAGGGAGATGACAGATGGATGTCACAGGTGAGAGAGCTGTCGTGGGAATGGGAGCCTCTTTCCTGAGGGCTGGGGGCTGCTGGGTGAATGCTGCACATGTCTGTCTGACCACGTTCTTGACTTGAGGTTGTAAGAGCTCTGCTGCCCAACAGCTGGCAGCATTCTGATGCTTCCCTCACTTGAATTGATGAAAGAAGGCAAAAAGCAGCGTGACCTGAAAACTACACTGTGAAATGTTTTCAGAAAATAGTCCTGTTGGCCCATTAACTGAGAGAAATTGCCAACCCCGTTGTTAAACCAAGTGCAAAATAGTGCTTTCCGGTGTGTATCTTTGCAAGGGAGTGATAAAGCTGAAAAGCAGAGCTGAAGCGTTTGGTCTCCCAGTCTCTTTCTGCAACACTTCCTCCTGCAGAGTGAAAGAGTCAGAGCATACTTGCTGCACTGACTAACTGTTAATTTATCTGCTCTTTAATTGTTGAATTTTGTGGGTGTCTAACGTATGGGTTTCATATGGGTGGCATGGAGTAGACAAATGCTGCTCTTCTCAGAGCCGAGGTTGCAACCCCTGTTAGAGTTTGTGCAGTTGAGGGGATCATTCAGTAGTTCATGGGTTAACAGAAGCACATTGGAGGGCAGACAGGAGGGAGCAGGGGGAACTGGTTGGGCAACTGTCCCTTTCTGTCCTGCAGCAGAGATGCTGATGAGCAGTGATCAGTGTGAGCTTTCGCTTATACTGCTTTCTTTTAAACAGCACAATAGATTTGTTTTGGACTGCAAAGACAAGGAACCTGATGTGCTCTTCGTGGGTGATTCCATGGTGCAGTTGCTACAGCAATATGAGGTACTGATTAAAACAAAACAAAACAAAAAAAAGAAAAGGCAATTGTGGGGTTATGTGAATTAGAATTTCTAATCCATTAACGTACAATTACTCGCTGTCCAGACTATTTCTTTCGTTCCACTCTGATTTTACTGCTGTGTCTTCTGGTTTATTCCTTAGTCACCCAGTGCCCGTTCAAAGTCTTGCTGATTTATCTCTATAAGCCATTTGTCATTCTCTGAAGCAATTAATAACTGCCTTCACTTTGTATGCATGCACAACCCTTCCTCTCCTCGATTCCAAACTCTCCAGAACATGCCAGTGAAATCTTTGTAGGTGTGTCTTTCTCGGCCAGAACACGTTTAACCCTTGAGGTGCTGTGTGCACTGACACACCTGCTTTTCTGTTGACAAAGTGTTAAAGATCTTCTCAGAAGTGAGATTTACATGAAGGACAAGCTGGGTTGTGTTCCTTTGATTAATCTATGAAACTGCTGGAGTAAAACTAAGAATTTTGCTGCTCCACAGTGGTGGTAACTGAGTAACGTTGTTCTCCAAAAGCTGCTTCCCAGTGTAGTTCACTTTTTCTAGTTTTGTTTCCTGGCAATGTGGATGCCTTCTTTAGAAGTCTGTAATTAGCTAAACGAGGGACACCGTGATCTACAGCAGCTTCCCTCTGTATCTCTGATGCCAAATAGCTGTTCAGGAGAGCTTCCCTTTCCTCTGTGCCAGGATTAGTGCATGAATGTCAGCAATTCTGTCTCATCTGGACCATGAAGTAAAGCTTCATCCTGTGCTTAAATGCCACTTCTGGAAGTGAGTTTTCAGAGAGTTTCTTACTGCTGCTTCCAGTGTTACTGAAGACATTGTGTGTCTGTAGTATCTTTCTCTCGTGATCTGGATGATCCTCTCAAAGAGGAAACTGACCTCTGATTGCAGATCTGGCGAGAGCTCTTCTCACCACTTCATGCATTGAATTTTGGGATTGGTGGAGACACCACTGGACACGTTCTGTGGAGACTGAAGAATGGTGAACTGGAGAACATTAAACCGAAGGTATAAACAGCCAACCAAACAAGGCAGCCTTGTGCTGACTCGTAAGAGACATCAGGTCCTTGAGTGGTGTAAAACTGAGTGAGCCATTAACTCTTAGGAGAACTTTTGTTGAAGAGCTGTTGCCACTAAGTATGCATAAGGTACTGAAATGTGTTAGGCTGAGCTAGAAGTGCTTGGGAATGGAGCCATAGTTCTCATACAGGTGGCTTTCACTGCTAATGTGCATCAGAGGAAGTCATCAAGAGAAATGGCCTTATAGTCATAGGCTGATCAGCACTTGTGCTGTCATTAGATTGTTTGGAGTTGCAGTGACTCATACCTGAGGGATGTTCTCAGATAGAGATGATGAAACATTTGACAGAAAGCGAGCAGAGAGGCTCATATGTGCAGTGAAGAACAGCTTCCTACTTCACGCCTAAAGCTGCAGTCCTGTGCTCTACTGAAAGCAATGCGTGGCCCACCACAGTATCCAGTAGGAAGGCAGTGTCACTCATATTTCAATCTGTTATTTAGCAGCTTTAAGTCATTTTGTAAAGAAGTGGAGGTGCACAGTTGTCCTTGTCCTGCAGGGCCTTAGACTGTGCTGTATAAATGCCCTCTTCTTGACCAAGGTATCCTGGAGAGCCACCGAGAGGCTCTGTGGAAAGGGGTGGGCTCACATCTCACAGGCTGTCCAGAAAACCTTCAGAAGTCCTTGTTCTTCATCTATACTGGATGCCAAATCTGAAGCTTGCAAGATACCGTCCAAAAGTCAGCATAACTGGCAGCTGAAACCCTGCATTTTTGGTTTATCCTTTAGCTAGCCTGACTCTTGATTGAGCTTGATGACTGTAGATGATGTTTACGCAGTGCTTTCAGGGTCAGCAAGACTTACAGCTTGTTCTTGAGAAAGATGCAAACATTTCTTCTCCTCGTAGGTCATTGTTGTTTGGGTTGGAACAAATAATTACGAAAACACAGCAGAAGAAGTGGCAGGAGGGATTGAGGCCATCGTGCGCCTGATAAATACCCAGCAGCCACAGGCCAAAGTTATTGTGCTGGTATGTTTATTGGAGAGCTGCAGAAGCAGAGCCCTCCGGGGAAGCTGTGTGTTCTCTGCTGTGTGTCTGTGTGGTGCTGGGAGTTGTGGTGATGGGGGAGGGCAGTTGTTTCATTTGTCTTCTGCTCTGTGCGTGCATCCCCTGGCCTGGCTTTGCAGAAGTTATGCTGTTAGCCCCTCCAGATGTGTGGTCGTCCTCATCAGCAGTATTGCTGTCCCACCTTTGTTGAAATGCTCTGTAAGGAACAGATCAGAGCTGGGATTTGGAAGTCTTAGTTTTCTTCCCCGTTTCAACAAGTCAGCTGGTGTCCCTCTTTTTGAGGAGGTGAGCCAAAGCACTCAGCACATCACTGCAACTTTATGAAAGGAATATAAACTGATAGATTTTTTGTTTTAGCAAACAAACAAACAAAAAAAAAAAAAAAGCAAATTCCATGCTAGCTGTGCTTCTGGCTCCTTCAGTCACATTTGAAGTTAGATCTAAAGGGACAAAATCAGATTCAAGGAATGAGATCCTTTTATCATAGACATCTTCAATCTTGAAAGGGTGCCTGAATTGAAAGGGAAATCATTATTACACCATCAGAGTTGAATGAAAGCTCTTCATTGCCTCCTTCTTGTGTCAGGGCCTGCTACCTCGTGGAGAGAAGCCAAACCCTCTGCGGCAGAAGAATGCCAAGGTGAACCATCTGCTAAAAGCCTCACTCCCCAAACTACCCAATGTGCAGCTCCTGGATGTAGATGCTGGCTTCGTGCACTCAGATGGCACCATCTCGTACCACGATATGTTTGATTTCCTGCACCTGACAGGAGGGGCCTATGCAAAGATCTGCAAACCCCTCCACGAACTGATCATGCAGCTACTGGAGGAGACCCCTGAGGAGAAGCGAGCTGCCCTGGCCTGATTAGCTGATGTCAGTGTTAACGTCACCCAGCCCATCAGATCAGTTCTGTCACTGGCACTACAGAATCCTTCTTTCTTAAAGCACTTTCCATTGTAGAATGTTACAGATGTTCATATCTCGTGTTTTGAGGGGGAAGGCTGATGTTTAACTGGTCTTGTACAGATGAGGGCCAGCTTGTTTGGTTTTATGCAGGAGGAAATTAGCTGAAGAGGAGTTTTACTTTTAAACCATTCCTCATTTAAAATGAGCACAGGACTGTCACTCTGTGCCCCTCTCACGTGTTGTTGCCCTGTGGTTGTCCTAGAACCTTTTTAGCCTGTCTCTGACAGCCCATGCGCGGCTCCTGGCCACCCTTCCTGGCTATAGGAGTTGTGCTCTGTGTATTAGCCTGTGAACAAGAATTACCTTTCACTTGCTAATAACAGAACAGATGCATTTTTCCAAGCTCAGTCCCACCTTTTAAAGGTTTCTGGTTGGTTTTTTTTGGTTGTTTTTTTTTTTTTTCCCTTTTTCTGGGGTATTTTAAGTGACACGTGTTGTTTCTCACTCCTTATTTCTGAAGCAGCATGAAACTGGAATTCAGAAACCTAAGGGAACAAACTGTTAACTTCTCTAAAGCTCCCAGGTGCTTGTCCTTGTGCTCATTTCACCATACTTGGTAGCCTGGGCACTCTTCATTCCATGTAGTTTCCCTGTGGGCAGTGTCATTCAGGTGCCCCTGATGGCAGCCCTGTCTGTGTAAGGCATTGCTGGCTTTTGAAGTCATTCAGTTTAGCATTTTAATTATCCAGTTGGTATCACACAAGGCAGTCACTTCCTCGCTACTATGGAACTGACATTTCATTCCTTTGGGATGCCTGTGCTCCAGGGCTCTTTGCAGTACTGTTCATTGTTCTTTTTTGCTTTGTTTTTGTAAGTATGACTGTTACACCCTTTTTTTTTTCCTAAGGAGAACCCACATGAACAGCCCCTTTTTTTCCAGGCATAAAACAGTCTGAAGCTTTACAGATTCAAAGGTGTATATTTCTTTATTGCTTCTGTTTTACTTGTATGAACATTTTATTCAAGCAACTGCAGCATGAAGTCGAGGTGTGGCCTTTTGCTGCCCTGGGCGCTGCTCGCCTCTAGCCAAGGAAGCCATTGCAGCAGTGCTCTCTTACAGGGGCTGCAGGTAGGTGGGATTTTTGTTTTGTTTTTTTTTTATGAGCTGGTTATAGCCTACTAATGGGAAAATAGCCTTTCATCTCCAATGAAAGCTTCTCTTTATTCAGAAAGAAACCGTTTTGGACCCTAAACGCAGAGCCCTAGGGGAACAGATAAACATACTTGCAAATAAAACAATTTTAAATGAAGTCTGTTCTTCCTTGGCTTACCTACCAGAGCTGGAGCTTGCAGCACTGTGCAAACACTGCAGTGGTTTGCAGCGTGCTAAGCTGATGGAGAGCTGCCAGCACAGATCTCTGCACTTCTTTCAGTGTATGAGGAATCTGCAGCCACACGTGCTCATCTCGGCAGGTAAATTGGAGAGGAACGGTGGCTTTGGAGCAGGCACTTCCTGCTCTGTTCTTAAGGAGGGGTGTTTAGGTGTCCAGGTTGCTTGCTGTGCCCTGCTGCAATGAAAGTACGTAGGTGCTGTATATAGTCTGTTTGCCCTTTTTTATAACAAAGGGTGCTGGTGTTTAATGCAGTCTATAATCTAGCATTAAGGAATACTTTTACGTCCCCACTACATTCCCCTGTTCCTGTAGATTTGATCATAGCAGGGTTTCTGCCTGGATTGCATGCATAGTTTGTGTTTTGTTTCCAGTATATGTGATCTACACACAGATGAAGGAAGGATGAAGCTTTCCACTTCCCAGAAATAAATACCAGAGTGCTGTAGTAGAGGAGGGATGGCTGTCTCACCCCAAAGCAGGCTGAGCATGCGCTGCTCCCAGGCCTGTGTGCTCTGCAGCCCTGCTGCCTTGCAGAGGGGCTTTAAGGTAATGTTGTTCACACTTCTGGTTAGATGCTCGCTGGAGAAGTTGGTGTAAGAAAGTGTAAAGTGTTAAAAATAGGCTGCAGTGGAGGATTCTTGGGGAAAAGTTCTACTACCCCCCTCCCCCTCCTCACGCCCTCCTTTGGGAGAAGGGTTAAAACCCAAATCTGCTCCCTGTGAACTTTGCAGCTTTTGTAATAAGGCAGTGTGGTAGCTGAACCTATGCATCCCTGCTTTGCTCCCTGCTGTCACAACGTTTGGTTGAAGAGATGCTGGCTGACAGTAACGTGTTCTCCAACAGAAAAGCTGTAACTTCTTACCTAAGCACCCGTACAGCTGGGGCTGTGTCCTGCCCTGAGTCAGCTGCTCTTGGTGGGGCGCTGTGTGGTGTGAGAGGTTTAGCAGGTTCATGACTGCAGTGTGACCCTGCTGGCTCTCTGCTTAAGCTTGGTGTGCTAAGATGCCATGTTCTGTGCTTGCTTCAGTGTTCACAGCCCTCTGCTACCTTCATCGTTGCTGGTTATGACCGATGGACAAAGAAAGGGCAGCTTTGTGTCTGAGACTTCAGCTCTATTTGTGGCTGTTTAGTAATGAACTGTCCTGCTTCACATGGAGGGGTTTTGTGTGGGGGCAGGCAGGGATTGTTCCTTTTCACTGAGCAGGCACCGAAAATGAGTGCCTCGCTGTCAGAAGTGCAGGAAAGCTTCACTTGCAGCCCTGGGTGACCGATGTCCCCTGGGATCGGGGTTGGGCCGCCTCTGCCCAGCCAGCATGAACTGCGTCATTGTTAATGGCTGGCTGTGAGAGAAGTGGCCCTTTGAGGCCTTTTCCTTCTGTAAACAACCTAGCTGCATTGCTCAGTTCTGTGCTGAAGCCTGGTGTCTTGTCTGTGCTGTGACCTGCGAGCATCGCCGAGTTTTGTATTTATTGCAGCGGAGAAGAAAAGATGTGAAAGGACAGCAAGAGTCTCATACTGAGCAGAGGGGGGAGAGCATTGCAGGCGTGATGGGGAGCTGCGAGGAGCAAAGCCTGCGTACGTGGATCAGCAGCTGCCCCATCACTGCTCGCTGACTTGAACCTTCCCAGGAAGAAATTTGTGATCCTGCTTTGGCAAAAAAAAAAAAAGAAAAAAAAAAAAAGAAAAAAAAAAAAGGCATCAGCTGGTAGAACTCGCTCTGTTTAGTGCATATTTCGATATAAATGTAAATGTTTCACCCCAACGTGTTGCAGTGTGTGTGTGTGTGCATCTGCACGTGCGTCTTCCGTCCCCCTGTGTTGGTTGCTTGTTTTGTTTCTGCTGTGGGAAGTGCTGCTGGGAGCAGTGCTGCTGCTCGGGGTGGGGAGAGCAGAGACCTTCCAAACTCAATCCGCAGTGTTCCCTCCTGGGACGTTTGAAGCCACACTCATCCGGCTCCTCACTGCTTGTTTATTCTGTCCTTATTTCTGGTCTGATTTGGTTCTTTTTCTTTACTTCTTTTCCTTTTACTCACTGTTTTGAAAACAATGCCAAAGTTCCAACAAGGTTCTGCAAGTGAAGGTAACTGACTTTTTTGGTCCTAGACGAGACTTTAGCTTGCTTTTGATGACTCTGTGATTTATTTTTGATAGCTTTGAAATGTGTAGGGAATGCACATCACTACAAAATCAACCTTAAAGTCATTCCAGCGGAGGCAACATTTGCATCTGAACAGGAGCTCAGGAGTTTGCTGTGTTCTGCTCCTGGCTCCTTATGGACTTCTGTCTGTCCCCAAGCAAATCACTCGACCCATTGGCAGCAGCAGCACCACCCATCAACTGGAAGCACCGCACAGACTGCCTGAAAAGTGCTTGAGACCCTCAGTGAGAGGACCTAGAGAAATAAAGTGCACAATAGCAGCAATGCTCACGTCTCTGTATGTTTGTCCAGCAGAGGCGTTGCGTTTTAGCTCGAGTGCAGGGATGGATTGTGGGGGAATCACAGCATGGTTTGGGTGGAAGGGAGCTGAAGGCCGCCTGGTGCCGCTCCCTGCAGCGCACAGGGACACCCACAGCTCAGCAGTGCTCACAGCCCCGTCCAGCCTGACCTTGGCTGTCTGCAGGGACGGGGCACCACCGCCTCTCTGGGCAACCTGTGCCAGCGCCTCACCGCCCTCACTGCCAAACCTGCTTCCTCAACTCCACCTCAATCTCCCCTCTTGTGGTCTGAAGCCATCTCCCCTTCTCCCATCACACAGACCCACTGCAGAGTCCGTCCCCTCCCTTCTCACAGCCCCTTCAGATGCTGACGGGCCGCTCTCAGCTCTCCTTCTCTTGCCTTCTCTTCTCCGTGCTGCTCAGCCCCAGCTCTCGGCCTGTCCTCGCAGGGAGGGCTTCCATCCCTGCCGCCATTTCTGTGTCCCTCCTCTGGCCGCGCTCCAGCAGCTCCCCGTCTCTCCTGCCCTGAGGACTCCACCTGTGGACGCAGTGCTCCAGGTGAGCTGTCACAGCACAGCAGAGGGGCAGGAGCACCTCCCTGCCCTGCTGCCCGCGCTGCTCTGCCTGCAGTCCGCTGGGCTTTCTGTGCTGCGAGGTTTGGGGCTCAGCTGTTTTGCGTGACCCTGCGCCGCGCTTGGCGCAGAGGGCGTTGTGTGAGCACGGGGGGCGTTGAGACCGGGGGACAACAGCGGGTGCGATGCGGGCAGGCGGTGCTCACCTCTCCCGCAGCCGCGGTGCCGGTGCCGCCCCGGGCCGTCGGTCGGGGCGCGGTGAAAAGCCACCCGTGCCACGTGTCACCGCTTATCGATCCCGCGGAGCGAAGTCTCGCCGCACCGGGAGCTGCGGGGAGGTGTTGGGAGCGGGCTGGTTCCGAGCCGGGCTGCGGAGCGCCGCCTGGGAGTCGGCCCCGTTCTGTCGCTGGGGACGGAGCGCGGTGCCACCCGCCCGGCCGCGTTTTTCCCCCGGGCGGCGTCCCGCCGAGCAGCGCCGCCGCCCGCCGCCCGGCACCGCCCGCCGCCCCCCGCGTCACTTCCCCGGCCCGGCCCTATGAGCGCGTGTCACCGCCCTGACGTCACCGCCGGCCCCGTGTTTACAGCCGTCCGCGGAACGGGGCGATCCGAAGTGCCGCCGGCAGCCCCGCGCCCCCCCATGGGGCTCCGCGCCCCGCCGCGCCCCGCCTGACCGCCCCGCGCCTCCCCCCGACCCGCGGCACGGCAGCCCCGAGCCGGGGATGCGGGCACGATGCCCTCCGCCGGGGCCGCCGCGCTGGCCTGGGCGCTGTTTTGGCTGCTCGCCCCTCCGTCCGCCCTGCCCGAACCCCTGGACCCGAAGAAGAACGTGGAGCAGAAGGACGCCGTCTTCGACAAGATCTACACGGACTGGGTGGCCGCCGACACGCTCAACATCTACGCCTTCAACCACACGGTGCTGAGGAACAGGGTGAGCCGGCGGCCGCGGCAGGCAGCGAGCGGGGGCTGGCGGGGGGGGGGGTGGTTGGTGTTCTCTTTTAAGGGGTGTGTTCCCCTTTTGGGGGGTGAGTTTCCCTTTTCATAGGGCGTGCATTTCCTATTTCTGGAGTGAGTTTCCCTTTTTGGAGGTGTGTTTTGTTGTGGGGTTTTTTTGGAGGGGGATGTTTCTCATTTGGGGGTTTATTTCCCATTTTTGGGGATGTTTCCCACTTAATAGAATCATAAAACCACAGCATGGCTCAGGTTGGAGGGGAGCTCAAAGCCCACCCAGTGCCACCCCCAGCTGCCCCCCACCAGCTCAGGCTGCCCAGGGCCCCATCCCACCTGGCCTGGAGTGCCTGCAGGGATGGGGCACCCACAGCTCTCTGGGCAGCAGCGCCAGCGCCTCACCGCCCTCACATCCAACATCTCCCCTCTTACCATGTCAAGCCATCCCCTCACTATCCTATCAGCCATTCCCCCTTGTCCTACCATTTTAGGGCTCATTATCCCAATTCAGGGTTTATTTCCCATTTTTGGGGCCGCGTTTCCCATTTCAGGGCACATTTCCCATTCCCTGCTGCCCCGGCACCAGGCATAAATCAGTGCCTCTGCTGACCCAAGGAAACCAGGCAGGCCAGTGTCACCGCCTGGGGTGACGGTGTAGCCGGGCACTGGGGACAGCCCAGAATCCCACAGAAGGGAGGCGTCCCCCCAGCAGCAGGGGCCGACACGTCTGCCGGCGCAGGCTGAGCAAAGTCCACGCGCCGGGGGAAGGTCCTGCCAGGCCAAAGTGTCACCTTCCCACAGACGGAGGGAGTGCGGGTGTCGGTGAACGTCCTGTCCGACCACAAGGACCTGCCTGTGCTCTTCGTGGTGAGGCAGAAGGAGGCGGTGGTCTCGTTCCAAGTGCCACTCATCCTTCGGGGGCTGTGAGTATCGATGCGGCTGAGGCTCCCAGGGCTGTTGGCACAGCGTGGCACAGCTCCCGTCTGCCCTCCGCAGGTACCAGAGGAAATACGCCTACCAGGAGGTGAGCCGCACGCTGTGCCAACCGCAGACCAAGGTGGAGGTGGAGACCCAGCACTTCTTTGTGGACGTTTCCACGCTGTCCCTCAACGCCTCCTACCAGCTGCGGGTCACCCGCGTGGAGAACTTTGTGCTGCGGTGAGGAACCCCCCTCCCATCCCCTGCCTGCTGCCCCGCCAGGCGGCCCTCATCCTCTCCGTGCTCTCTGCAGGACGAATGAAGCCTTCGCCTTCAATGCCACAGCATCACAGCCGCAGGTGAGGGGCTGTGCTGGGGCAGAGGGGCGGCACCAGGGGCAACAGCGCAGGGAACGAGGTGTCCTTCTGCCCACAGTACTTCAAGTATGAGTTCCCCGACGGAGTGGACTCGGTGATTGTGAAGGTGACCTCAGCCATGGCCTTCCCCTGCTCCGTCATCTCCATCCAGGACATCCTGGTAGGATGGGGCTCAGGGTCTCACCGGGCAGCCCTTAGTGCTCAGCTGAACTGATGGGCCCGTCCCTCTGCCCGACAGTGCCCCGTCTACGACCTGGACAACAACGTGGCTTTCATCGGGATGTACCAGACTATGACCAAGAAAGCGGCCATCACGGTGCAGGTGGCTGTGGGGGGGATGTCCCACCCCATAGGGTCCCACACGTCCCACCTGGGCGCTGCTGACCCCTGTCTCTCCCCAACATGGACACTGCAGAGGAAGGATTTCCCCAGCAACAGCTTCTATGTGGTGGTTGTGGTGAAGACAGAAGACGAGGCCTGCGGAGGAGCCCTCCCCTACTACCCCCTCTCCAAGCGCACCTCCCCAGGTACTCACTGTGGGGCTCGTGCTGGGGATGGGGCCGGGCCCACGTGGGGCTGACTGTTGGCTTTGCCTTCCCACAGATAAGCCAGTGGATCAGCACAACCGGCAGAAGATGCTGGAGGTGATGGTGTCACCGGCCATAACCTGTAAGCCTGGGTGGGAGGTGGCTCCGGGTGCCGTTAAGGGCTGGGGGCTGCCGGGTGGTGCAGGGACCAGGGGTTGCTGCTCACCCTGAGGCTCTCTGCAGCGGAGGCGTACGTGAGCAGCATGCTCTTCTGCCTCGGCATCTTCCTCTCCTTCTATGTCATCACGGTGCTCATCGCCTGCTGGGAGAATTGCCGGTGAGGTCCCACGCTCCCACCCTGCTCCAATTCAGAGACCTGCCACCGCATCCCCTCCTAGTTCAGTGTCCATCCTCAGTGCCATGCCCCCTCCCGGTGCCATATCCCAGCCCTGGTGCCATGTTCCTGTCCCAGCGTTGTGTCCCAGCCCCTGTGCCACATCCCTCCCAGCGCAGTGCCCCCTCACGGTGCCACATCCCAGCCCTGGTGCCGTGTCCTATCCCCAGTGTCATGTCCCATTCCCGATGCCATGTCCCAGCCCCAGTGTCGTGTCCCCTCCCAGTGCTATGTCCCAGCCCCGCAGTGCAGCTCACGTCTGGTTCCTTTGACAGTCAGCACAAGAAGAAAGGGCTCTTGGCTGCCATGGACTCGCCCAGCCTGGACACGGGTGAGGGGTTGGGGGCATGTGGAGGGGATGTGCCTGGGGCTGGTGGGTCCTTCTCCTCTTTCAAGCCTTTCCTGTGCCAAAGAGCAGAGGCAGGGATGTCCGAGGGTTTGTCTTCTCTGCTCTGGGGCTGACGCGGCTGAGCTGGGACTTGGGCAACTGACTGAATCTCTCTCTTTTTCCATGTCTTTCTGGGACCCCCAGCATCCTTACTGGGTAGGTGCTGGCACTGCTGCACACCAGGCGGGCGCAGCCCCGTGTTGGGGTGCTGATGGTGCTGTGTGTCCCCTCCTGCCTTGCAGGGCACGCCCACAGCATCCCAGACTCCTTCCTCGGGCATGCCCCCTACGTGGGCTGTGGATACGGCTCCTTTGGTGAGTGCTGCACACCGGCCCTCGCCCCATGCCTATGGGGCCAGCAGCCGTGCCACCATGCCCACCCCCTCTGTTTTTGCAGAGAATGGTTCCTCCTGCAGCACCGAGGCCATCACAGACAGCATGGGCTCTGCAGACGTCTCCTATGGATACATGGGTGTGTGTGGGGCTGCTCCAAGGGCACAACCAGTGATGTTCTCGCTCCATCCATGGCAGCTCCTCGTTGCCAGCCTGCAGCAGGGGCTCCAGCTGGGCATCACCAACTGGCGAGGCGGTGATACGTGGGGTGCTCCCGAGGTGCCGGCGGTGGGCTCGGCTCCCGTCCTGCCCCAGTAACTCTCGCTTTCCTTTAAAGGGCAGGAGCAGTTCAAGCGGCGCATCCCCTCCTCCCCGATGAGGCACCAGTGCATTGCCATGGGTAGATGTTGGTCCGAGCAGGGGCGGTCCAATCAAAGCAATCTGCCCTGCCCAAGCCTGACGCTGGGCACAGACCCAGCCGTGACCTCGGCCCCAACGCGGCCGCATCCCAGGGTGTAGCTCTGCTCTGCGCCCCGTCCCGCCCCGGCGGGGAGGTGTGGGTGTAATTGGGGTGATTGCTGCCGGGGAGGAGCCCTGGGGGCTCAGTGCAGCCCTGCTGACCTCCCTGTCTCTGCTGCAGGAGAGCGGTCGCTGGAGAACGTGGCCGGCCGGCCGCGCCTGGATTCCCTCAGCTCTGTTGAAGAGGACGACTACGACACGCTGGCCGACATCGACTACGACAAGAACGTCATCCGCACCAAGGTGCGAGCTGTGCCCATGCGTTGCCACGCCGTGCCGTGCTGCAGGCACTGCCCTCACCCTGCTTCTCCTTCCAGCAATACCTCTGCGTGGCTGACCTGGCCCGCAAGGATAAGCGGGTGCTGCGGAAGAAATATCAGATCTACTTCTGGTGAGCAGGAGATGGCTGGAGGGCTGGGGATGTGTCCCGGCAGTGCCTCTCCCACTGCTGCAGGTGGGTGGCAGTGACATTGGTGACACTGCTGTGCCCCTCCCAGGAACATTGCCACCATCGCTGTGTTCTACGCGCTGCCCGTCGTCCAGCTCGTCATCACCTACCAGACGGTGAGCAGGCGGTGCTCCCACACCACGCTCTGCAGCAGTGGGGATGTGCCCGTGTCCCTGGCTGTTCCCAAATCTCCTCCCACTTCTCCTCCTCCTCCTCTCATTGCACTCACATCTGTAGGTGGTGAACGTCACCGGCAACCAGGACATCTGCTACTACAACTTCCTGTGTGCCCACCCGCTGGGGAACCTCAGGTGAGACAGTGGGGTCCTGGCACGAGGCAGGGCTGTGGGTGTGGGTCCCAGGGCACTGATGGGCTGAACCCCCCTGCAGCGCCTTCAACAACATCATCAGCAACCTGGGCTACGTGCTGCTGGGCTTGCTCTTCCTGCTCATCATCCTGCAGCGGGAGATCAACTACAACAGGGCGCTCATGCGCAATGACACACGCGCCCTGGTAAGAATGCTCAGCCACCAGGCCGTGTCCCCAGAGAGCTCAGCTCCCCCAGGTGCCGATTCCCTCCTCTCTGCCCCTGCAGGAGTGTGGCATCCCCAAGCACTTTGGGCTCTTCTATGCCATGGGCACGGCGCTGATGATGGAGGGGCTGCTCAGTGCCTGCTACCACGTCTGCCCCAATTACACCAACTTCCAGTTCGGTGAGTGCCATCCCAGCAATGTGCTGGGAGCTGCTGCAGCCCTGCTCACCGCTCCGTCCTGCAGACACCTCCTTCATGTACATGATTGCTGGGCTCTGCATGCTGAAGCTGTACCAGAAACGGCACCCAGACATCAACGCCAGTGCCTACAGCGCCTATGCCTGTCTGGCTGTTGTCATCTTCTTCTCTGTCATTGGTGTGGTGAGTGCGGGCGTGCTGCGGGGCTGGGCACGGTGTGGGGTGGCCACTTGCCCACCTGCTGGTCACTGGGCTCTCCACGTAGGTCTTTGGCAAAGGCAACATGGTCTTCTGGATCATCTTCTCTATCATGCACATCATGGCCACATTGCTGCTGAGCACCCAGCTCTACTACATGGGGCGCTGGAAGCTCGGTGAGGGCTGAGTGTGGGTGTGCAATGGGGGTTGTGCTGCAGGCAGCAGGGATGGGAAGGGACGAGGTGGGAGGGGACAAAATGGGATAGGTTGAGGTGGGGGGGAAGGGATTGGTTGGGGTGAGATGGGTTGGGTTGGAATGGGATGGGATGCAGTGGAAATGAGATGGATTGGATTGGGTTGGGATAGGATGGGATGCAATGGGTTGGGTTGGAAGGGGATGGGATGGGAAGAGATGCGATGGGATGTGTTGGGATGAGATGGGATGGGACAGAATGCGATGAGATGAATTGGGTTGGGATAGGATGCAATGGGATGGGATGGTTGGGATGGGGTGCAACAGAATAGCATGGATTGGGTTGGGATGTGATGGGATGGGATGGAATGTAATGGGATGCAGTGGCGTGGGATGGGATGCAATGGGTTGGATCGGTTTGGGATGGGATTCAGTGAAATGGGATGAGGTGTTGAGTTGGGTTGGGATGTCCGGCAGTCAGATGGGTTGGGATGGGATGCAGTGGGATGGGACCAGCTCTGTGCCCCCAGTACTACATTCCCACTCTCTGCAGACACAGGCATCCTGCGCAGGATCCTTCACGTGATGTACACAGACTGCGTCCGGCAGTGCAGTGGCCCCATGTACGTGGTGAGTGATGGCACTGGAGGGGAAGGGACATTGCTGGCCACCAGCTCAGGAGAGGGGCTGTGCCCCTTCACCCCGCTTGTCTTCCTTCACAGGACCGAATGGTGCTCTTGGTTATGGGAAACATCATCAACTGGTCCCTGTAAGTGCAGAACCAGGAGCAGGCGAGACCCCCATGCAGCTTCCTCTGTGCCCAGCCCCCCCCATGCCTGCTGCTGCTCCCACCCTGCTCCCCTCGGCCCCATGTGGGCTGAGGATTCCCAGCTCGTGACAGCTGTGAGCCAAGCACAGCATGAGCCCCCAGTGCTCCTTCAGTGCCCAGAAGAGCAGAACCAGAGAGCGGGCAGTAGGGCATGGGGGGGGGGAGTCCCCAGGCTCTGCTGACCCCGCTGCCTCCTCAGCGCCGCCTACGGGCTCCTTGTGCGCCCCAATGACTTCGCTTCCTACCTGCTGGCCATCGGCATCTGCAACCTGCTCCTCTACTTCGCCTTCTACATCATCATGAAGGTGTGAGCTGCAGGCTGGCCATGCGGGCACCCGGGCCTGGTGGGAGGGCGGCAGGGGTGGCCCCTCGGGGGTGTGCAGTGACCCACCATCTCCTCCAGCTCCGCAGCGGTGAACGCATCAAACTCATCCCCCTGCTCTGCATCATCGGCACCTCTGTGGTCTGGGGCTTTGCACTCTTCTTCTTCTTCCAGGGTCTCAGTACCTGGCAGGTAGGTGTGTGGCTGTGCTGGGTGTGGGGCAGCTGGGGGGCAGACACGGTGATGGCTGCCCTTTCCTGCTCAGAAAACACCAGCGGAGTCCCGGGAGCACAACCGTGACTGCATCCTGCTCGACTTCTTTGACGACCACGACATCTGGCACTTCCTCTCCTCCATTGCCATGTTTGGTTCGTTTCTGGTAGGTGCTGCCCGCTGCACAGATCCCACTCCCCATCACTGCTGCCCGTCCCACTGCCGCCCCGCTCCCCTCCGCAGGTGCTGCTGACGCTGGATGACGATTTGGACTGCGTCCAGCGGGACAAGATCTACGTCTTCTAGAGCCTGGAGGAGGGGGGCCAGGCACGGTGTGGCACCCAGGGACCCGCCGTCCTACTGCTCCCCAGTGCCACAACCCAGGGCTGTGCCAAAAGCCCAGCAGGACCCCATGGACCGTGCCTGCGCTGTGGGTCCCCACCGGATGCTCCGTCCTCATCGCCATTCCCACAGCAGGCCGGGGTCCCTTGGCCCCACTGTACCTCCTGCTCACCGTGCCATCCTGGGGGCTGCCCAGCACAGGTCCTCGCCAAAAGCGGTTCTGGGGATGCGCTGCGGTGCCCGGCCCTAATCCTGCACTGGGACTGCGCCCATCCTTGGTGATAAGTGACACTGGAAAGGCGCTGGTGGGCTGCCCGTCCCGCAGCTCCACACACACCGGTGTGGGACCTTCAGTGCCTAACGCCCAGGTGTGGGGCACTGCGATGCCTTCGCACCCCAGGGCGGCCATGGGGCTCAGAGCCTCTCGGGGTTTTTATTCTCCCGTCCGCTGCTCCTGCAGTGCTCAGCACTCAGCTGGGCTCCGGGCGGCTCACATTAAAGTCTCTGCACTTTACAGCAGCTGCTGCCTCCTGTGGGGCTGGGAGTGGGGTTGGGACTGGGGCTGGGGGCTCGGTGGGTGCTGCTGGGTGTCAGCCACATTCCAGGCGTAGGGTTCTGTGTGCTGTTGGCTGCAGGCATTGGGTTGGGGTGTGGGGGGATGGATGTGTGGGGTCCTGGGGCTGCACCCCTCGCTGAGCACACAGGATTCCCAGAGGAGAAGCTTGGAGCTGTGGCTGTGCCACGTGGCAGCTCCTGGCACTGCAGAGAGGGTCGGGCAGAGCCCAGGACGGTGTGGCTGTGCCAAAGTGTGAGCCCTATCACACCCCATCCCAACATCAACTCTGCCCCCCACCCTGCTGTATCCTGCCCACCCCACTGGGGCAGAGCAATAGCCAGGACCTGTTGTGCCCTGGCAGGATGCCTGTGGGATGCCCATCGCCTCGCAGCCCTGCGCTGCCCAGCCCTGCCTCAGCTGTGCTCTCCAAGAGCCCCTGTGCGCACCGCGGCCATCCCATACCCCAGCCTCGCACCCGCTGCCCCCCGTGCCCCCACCCACCAGGAGCCTCCCATCCCTGCAGTGAGCACAGGGGAAAGCCAGCCATGAAGTCAGGGCAGAAAACTCCGCGAGCGCCTGCCTATAAAAGGATTTACTTCATCAGAGCCCCCGGGCCCTGCTTCCTCCCTGCCTCAAAACCACTGGGGCTGAGGCACGCAGGGAATGCTCCGGCACGGGCTTTAGTCACTGGTTTTCGGAGTCTTTCCCCAAATATGGTGCCTGGGCCGGAGTCATGGTGTGCTGTGGGGCTGGGGGAGGGCTGGGGGCTGTCCCGTGGGCCGCTGACATCACTGTCCGGCCTTTTAGCGCAGCGTCGGCCTCCGAACTGTGCAGTGTGCTGGCACCCACCGAGCATCGCCGCTCGCCTCCGAGTCGCTGCTTGTGAGTCCTGCGGGGTTGTTGGAGGGAGGGTGTGCTGTGGCTGCCGTCCCCTGGGATGGGGATGCTGCTGCGGGGATGAGGATGCTGCTCCCCACATTGGGATCCTGCTCCCCACATTGGGGTCTTGCTCCCTGGATTGGGATGCTGCTCTCCAGGATGGGGATGATGCCGTGAGGATGGGAGTGATGCTGCTGGGGTGGAAATGCTGCTGGCTGGGACGGGAGTGATGCTTTCTGGATTGAGGTTCTGCTCCTAGGGTGAGGGCTGCAGCTCCCTGGGCTGGGGATGCTGCTCAGGGCATGCTGCTGCCCCTGGTACTCAGCACCACTTTGGTGCCGCTGCTCTGTGGCTCACAAGAGCAGTGTTGGTGGGTGCTGGCTCGACCCAGCCCCAGCTGTGCAGGAGAAGCAGACACAGCCCCCAGTGACTGAGTTCCTGCAGGAAAGGGGCATGGCACAGTGCAGGGAGACAGGTCAAGAGGTGGGTGTGGGGTTGGTCTGGGTTCAGCGGCGTTGGAGACAGAGCTCAGGTCTGTCTGCAGGGCTCGTGGGGTCCTGTGCTGCTGGCAGAGAGCAGGCTGTATGTTCTGCTCCGCCCCACGTGTGCTCTGCTTTGCTCTGCGTGCTGTGCCAGGGCTCCGTGCCGTCCTGCAGCAGTTGGGAGGCTCTGCCCAGTGGATGGTATGAGCTGGCTGCTGGGGAAGCCCAGGGAAGGAGTGAATGTGGGAACCATGCGTGTTGCTCCATGGCCCAGCCCCAGCACCCGGCTGGCTTTAACCCAAGCAGGGAAGAGCAAGGCCAGCTCTGTGAGGGTTTAGCTGCTGGCTCCCCACCACCTCTCCCTCCTGGCATCCATCCTGACATCCTCTGGCGCTGCCCACCACAGCCACCCTGTGCTCTGCCCGCACCATGTCCTTACAAGGGCACGGGACAGCTCCTGCCATGGCCTGGCCCCGCTGGCGCTGGCATGAGGACATGCCCATGGCACTTTGCTGTGCCACAGCCACCCAGCTCCACTGCCTGCTCCCTTCCTGGGCGTCTGCAGGCAGCTCCAGCCATGACCACCCAAAGCTGGGGACGTCCACACCAGCAGGAACTGGCTGCTGGCGGAGCGAGATGGGCACGAGGCAGTGCAACCCAAGCAAGGCAGATCTGGGTAGGAACCATCCACCTGGGTGCGCTACAAGGATCACGGCCGTGCTCACGCCTCCAGATCTCCATTGGCATCGACGGCCATTGCCTGCCCTGGGATGAGCTCAGGGAGGATGCCATGGGATGCAGCACGCTGGGTGTGGGGGCTGGCAGCCCCTCACGGCCCCCTCCCGCTGCAGGTCTCTGCCCACCGCAGCCATGGCAAACAAGGGCCCAGCCTATGGCATGAGCAGGGACGTCCAGTCCAAGATCGAGAAGAAGTACGACGATGAGCTGGAGGATCGCCTGGTGGAATGGATCGTGGCTCAGTGTGGGTCCAGCGTGGGCCGCCCGGACCGGGGCCGCCTGGGCTTCCAGGTCTGGCTGAAGAACGGCATTGTAAGTGCAAGGCTGGAAGGGTGGGAGGCTGCGATGCGGTGCAGCACGGCACAACACAGCGCAGAGCTCAGCCTCTCCTCTGCCTGCAGGTCCTCAGCCAGCTGGTGAACAGCCTCTACCCTGACGGCTCCAAGCCTGTCAAGATCCCCGACAGCCCTCCCACCATGGTCTTCAAGCAGATGGAACAGATTGCCCAGTTCCTCAAGGCGGCTGAGGACTACGGTGTGGTCAAGACAGACATGTTCCAGACTGTCGACCTCTTTGAAGGTGTGTGCCTGGGTGGGTGGGGGGCTGCAGGCGGGGGGCTCACAGCACTCACTGAGAGGGTGCTGCCTTCTCATAGCCAAGGATATGGCGGCGGTGCAGAGGACACTGGTGGCCCTGGGGAGCCTGGCGGTGACCAAGAACGATGGGCATTACCATGGGGATCCCAACTGGTTCATGAAGTAAGTGGGAGCACAACCCTGGGGTCGAGGGTTGAGGCTGATGGCCTGGGGGTCGGGGTCGGGGGGGGGCGTGGGGGTGCCCCATCGCCTCTCTCTGTTCCGTGCAGGAAGGCGCAGGAGCACAAGCGGGAATTCTCCGAGAGCCAGCTGAAGGAGGGCAAGAACATCATCGGCTTACAGATGGGGACCAACAAGGGCGCATCACAGGCGGGGATGAGCTACGGCCGACCCCGGCAGATCATCAGCTAGGCAGCCCCCCGCCTCCCCCAGCCCCAGCCAGGACCTCCGTCTCCGCTCCCTCTGTCCCGCGTGCCGCAGCTGCTGGGGCAACGGCGACTCCAACCGCCCCTCACCGATTGGTATTTATTGAAAACAAAAAGCCAGCCAGCCCAAACGACCCTTCAGCGCCTCGACCGGCAGCACGCACCGAGCGGCGGCCCCCGCGGCGATGCTGGGGCAGCCCGGCCGCGCTCTGCCGTGCTCGCTCCGGCTCCCAGGCGGCCTCTCGAGCTCTCCTCTTCTCTCCGGCCTCGCACGCTCCCCGCTTCACCCCTGCGAGCCCCGCCGCGAGCTGGTCCTGCCCCGCTGTGCCGAGCCGCGCTCGTGGGGACCCACGGTGCCCCATGGCCCTCCCTGGGGCGGGCGCGTGCCCCAGCACCCGGAGCCACCCTGCCTGCCCACCACCCCGCACCGGCCAAAAGTCACTCCGGCAGAGATCCTTGCAAATGGGGAGAAAAGAAAATTGGCCTCGGTTTTGTACTTCGTTTTTGTCAAAATTAAAAGGTTGTTCATCTAACGCGGCGTGCCGAGGTTTCCTCCTGTGGGCATCCAGGGAAGCCAAAGCCCTGGACAGGTGGATGGTGCCGAGTTTGGGGTCTCTACACTCCCCCAATGGCTGCTGCCATTCCTTCTTCCACCTGCCCAGGCCATCGCTCACCCGTGCCGGGGGCAGCCCCGGCTGCAGGGAAACAGAGTACAGAGGGCTATGGGCACCCAGGAAGGCAGCTCCACGGCCCCGGCACTGCGTGACGCAGCTTCCCAACCCAAGCAAAGCCTGGAAGGGCAGAGGAGTCACAGAGCGGGGAGAGGAGGGTTTTTAGAAGGCTTTATTTGGAAAGTTACACAATAGGACTTTGCTGTTTAAAAAACAACCCCCAGCTTTAAAAAAATAAACCAGCGAATCCAAAGACACGTGAACAAACCAGCCCTGCTCGCAGATGAGCCACTGCCAGAGCAACTCCGTCTCCCATTCCCAGCCCAAAGCAGGCACTGCATGGAGCCCCATCCTTACAGCACGGGCTCATGCCCCAGCAAGGGGCTGCTTTGTTTGCTGCAGCAGGTCCCCAGGCAGGGACATCCCATCCCTCTGGCCTTCCTGCAGCTCGGGACAGGCACAGGGGATGTGGCAGAGGTGGCACGCAGTGCACTCTGCACTGTTTTCTCACTGCACCCCATGACCAGGATGGGCGAGGAAGCTCTGCTGCCTTCTGCCTCCCCAGGCGTGCAACCGTGTGCGTGGTTGCTGGAGAGAGCAATGCGGCGGGGCCAGAGCACAGGGGACAGGAAGCGAGCTCCTCGAGGAACGGGCTTAAGGCTTGCTTTGTTTTCCAGAGCAAGGGAAGGGGAAGCTCCTCTCCCACTGCCAGCAGAATTTCTCCATGTTTCTGAGCCACTTCCAACAGCACCTTCCGCAGGACACAGTGACAGTGGTCCCTGGTGGCTCAGGAAGTCTCTGCTGCCCGTGCCCAGGAGGACGTACCGAGTAGGGGGACGCAGCCCAAAGCCCATCCATCCCCTGCTAGCATGTCTGCAGCTCTCTGTCGTCTGCGAGGAGCTCAGCTGCTGCCTCCCGGCCCAGGTACCCTGCTGAGGCAGGGGCTGCAGCTCTGCTGCTAGTGGGAAGTTTGGAGCGGGTGGGGGTCCAGGACCCCTCCTCCCCTGCATCCTCCTGGGCAGGCTCTAGCAGCTCACACTCCACCTCGATGTCCTCAACTCCCTTCTCCCTGTAGAGTGGCACAGACTCCATCTCCAGCCCGTTCTCGAGGGCTCTGTGCTTCCCTCCCTGCCGGTACCACCTGCAGGCACCGGAGCTGTGACAGGTCAGGT